CCTTGTATTTTCAACAGCAATTGCTACTTGCTTGCTTGCTTTCTGTGTGCTTTTTCTTTTGGTGGGGGTTGAGACAGGGGTTTTCTTCTGTGTAGCTTTGGAGCCTGTCCTGAAACTAGCTCTGTAGACCAGGCTGGTCTCAAACTCAGAGAGATCTGCATGCCTCTGCCTCCTAAGTGGTGGGATTACAGGCATGTGTCATCACCACCTCCCACTACATGCTTTCTTAATGATAGCCATTCTAACTGGGGTGAGAAGGAATCTCAATATAGTTTTGGCTTGCATTTCCCTGATGTATTTTGTGGGATCTTCCTTTCCCCTTTGAGGTTTACCTGAGCATAGATAGCACAGCTAAAGGTTGCATCATTCATCAGGCCCTCTAAATTGGCAACATTGTACATGGGTCTGAGGAGTGTGCCAGTTTTTGTGGCCACTAGGTGGGTGGCTTGATGGAGTTACTAAATAAGTTGCTGCCTTAGACTTACAGAAAGGATGAGTCTGCCATCTGACAGCATCCATCAGCCTTGTTATCCTGTGTGTCCAGTTCTCATTTCACCCAGGATATATTCCAGTCATCCTAGTATTCTGGGCACCAGAAGAGCTACCAAGACTTGAAGAGGCTCCACTGATTCTAGAGCTACTTCCTGGCTAGTCATCAGCCACTCTGTTACCTCTGGCTTCTGGGGAATCCCCTTTCTGGTATCCTTTGCAATGAAAATTGGATACCTTCTTAGGTAACTTCCAATTTTGTCTTCACAGCCAAAGTGTCTCAAAGTATGACAAAGGTATTAAATATTAATTGGAAAGTACATTGTGTAGATAGGCCACAAAGCTCAGGTCAGATAGAAAGGATAAACAGAACTGGAAATTGAAAAAAAATTGAGCCAACCTCCTCCCTTTGCATTTCTCAAGGCCCGGTGTGTTCCTTAACCGGAGGAGCTTACTCCTTTTGAAGTTATGTTTGGAAGACCACCTCCCATCTTCCCCAAATTTCAAGATATTCTTTTTCCAGGCAGAAATGTCTAATCACTCCCTTCTCGAGTCCTTGTGGGTGCTCAGGTCTGACCAGTATCAGTCCTAGGCTGCAAGAGCCACCTATTCTGGACTGATGCCTGTGGGACTGTTTAGAACCAGTCAAACAGCCCCGGGTCCTACCCTGAGTGGGGGAGTGTGGATCCGGGAAGTCCTAGCTACCCAGCGGTGTACAGGACGAAACAGACACATCATGTCATCTCAGGAGGGCTCTCAGTTAATACTGGAGACCGCGGTTTATTCAAGAATCCTCTTCAATAGCTTTCCAAAAGCAGGGGTACTGGCAGATGACATCTATTATCATGTATATAGGGCTGACTAGGAAACACTTCCTTTAACCCTAGAGATGGTCCTAGAATGCAAGTACACAAGCCTTCAGACACATCCCACTAGTCTCCAGGTACATCCCACTAGCCCTTATGATGTGTTTGGAGCCTTGGTCTATTGTTACACAAACTAGAAGCCATTCTCCACTGTGGCCAGGCCATCTGGAGTTAACCAGCCGACACCTAAAAGACAATAGGAGATTCGAGCTCCTGGAATTGAGCTTAGGCCTATATCCAAAATATCATATTCAGCCCCCAAAATGTGGGCCATCAAAAGAGACCCAGGGACTATGTTTACCACTTAGAAATGGCCATCTCCCTAGGCCCCCCAGTCCTATGGCTCTCAACAGAGAACTACTACCCATCCCGAGGGGAAAGACTCAACCCTGACTAATGCTGCCTCCCATGAGATTGGTCCCCTAAGTGCCAAAACCATTACCACCCTAGGCCTCATTGACACTAGGGCCATGAATCCTTCTATATTATCTCCCATTGACAAGGTTCACCATTTGCTTAACCAATCCCAGCCAGGTATTGGTCAGGATTGCTAGCTGTGCCTGAATCCTTGACCCCCTTACTGCACTGGTGAAAGGACTAACTAGATCTTTGGTCTACCAGCAAATAAAAACAACTGTAACTGGGAACAGCTTAAGCTAACACTAGGGGAACTATAGGGAACTGGGTCCTGCCTGTTGTTCATGACTTTACTCTTATGTCCTGACATTGTACTCTCCAGGTCAATTCCTTTTATTAGTAACAATACCATATGCCCTCACCCCCAAGATCATTTGGTGGGCAAGCACAAATGGTTTGACTAAATGTGCCCCCTCTAAGGCATTCCAAATCAATAAGTCCCTCTAAGGCATTCCAAATCAATAAGTGGTTCTCAATCTGCGGGTCATGACACCATGTCGGGCGGGTCATATATCAAATATCCTGCATTTCTGATACTTACATTATGGTTCATATAACAGCAGCTAAATTACAGTTATCAAGTCGCAAAAAATAATGTTGTGGTGGAGGTGTCACCACAATGCAAGGAACTGTAGTAAAGGGTCACAGCATTAGGAAGGTTGAGAAATGTGGGGATCATAGACCCTGGCCGGAAACCCACCCCTCCATCAGCCTGGGAGCAGGCAGCTGTGAGATAATGTTTACTGAAAACATGTTTACTGAAAACAATTCAGTGCCACAAAGCTCCTGATAGGGCTCCAATAAGGGCTCGCTCACTGAAACACCATGACTTTGACCCCCCCCCCGCAGACTAGCTGCTTCTTCCTGCTCCCTGCTGTTTCTCCCCGATTCTGGTGCCAGAGATTTAACCACCAGCCAGGAGGGTGAGAAGTCTGTGAGAGCTGTGAGGTGTGTGAGTGCTCGTTTGGAGAATTGTGTGTGTATGGATGGCAGAAGTCTTTAAAAAGGGAAGCGTTTTTTTCTTGGGGAGTTCTCCTAAGCCAACTGGGGGAGCATAAAGTTTTCTTAATGCAACCGACCCGTCCCTGTGTCATCAATCCTTGCCACATTCTCGGATACAGGCTGCTCAGCAGGTGCGACAGAGAAATACTGCTCTTATGTGACCTAGTACACATCCTGCCCCAGGTATATTGGGAAGAATGGAGAGCAGATGAACCTCAGGCTGCAAAGGGGGGAAATGAGCCACATCAAACTCATGGTTGGAGCTGGTTTTGCTGGAGCAATAGCCATAAGAACAACTGCCCTCATAGTTGGTGATAAGAACTTCAAAGAATTAGGTAAACAAGTGGACAAGGACTTAGGCATATTAGAGAACACTATATCCAGACTGGAGAAGCAAGTAGACTCTTTAGCTGAAGTGGTTTTGCAAAATCATAGAGGCTTAGATCTTCTCTTTATGGAACAAGGATAAATGTATGGCTTTAGGAGAAACCTGCTGTTTCTATTCATACTAATTAGGTATAATTAGGGAAAATTTTACCATGGTCAGGGAAAACCTCAAAGAAGGGGAGGAAAGGAAGCACAGTTCAGATAATTTGTATTAATCTCTGTTTACCTGGTCCCCATGACCGACCACCTTACTGTTAGCATTAGCTGAACCATTGATTCTTGTCCTGATTGGACTCATGGTGGGACTCTGCATCCTCAACTGCATGGCCAACCACATCAGAGAATAAACCCTATTAAGCTACTTGTTCTTGGGACCAACTATGCCCCCCAGAACAGAACGAGTCAACAATTAGACTCATGCCCATAAAATCAGTGGAGAATATGATGCAAGACAGTGCAAGAGGTTCCTCCATCCTGTATTATTGCTGAGGGCATTCCATGTTTAAAATCTTGTCTTCTTGATGGGCAATCCCATGAAAAACCACCCACTCTATTCTAGAGATCAGGATGTCCTAGTTGACTTAGCTTCTGTTAAACAGCAGAAGCTCCTCCAACTGTTTATCTTGCTTGCTTCATAATGCTTGTTTCTGCAAAGCCCCCCAGCAGCTGCTAAACAGGATGCAAGGACATGGTTCTGCCTCTAAAAACCCTGAGTTCTGGACACTGGGAGCTATACCCACGTTCCCAAACACTTCAGTGTGGTCCCAGATGGTTGAAATAAAGATACTCAATTGGCTCTATACTGTGTCTGAGTGGTCATCTCTGGTGAGCTACCTATAACAATTGCACAGATACCTGTAAGCTGTATTATGTGGCATGGGAACAAAAGTATTTTTGGTGCTTGCTGGCTGTCAGTTTAACCAAGAGAACATAAGCTCAGGTTCAGGGCGGAACTCTGCTTCAAATGAATTAGGAAGAGAGGAATGGAAGATAGCCAACACAGTCTATGGTATACATATATACAACACTACCATCCTTACACATACGCATACGCTGCATTATTACACACGCGAAGTTCAACAAAGCCTGTATGGAGATACATGCCTTTAAGTCCCAGCATTAAAAGGCTAAGGTGGGAGGACCGCTACAAGTTTGAGGCCAGTCTGAGGTACTGAGGTACTGCTAAGTTCCGCAGTTGAGACCTTGTCTCAAAAATCCAAAATATAAATACTAAAACCTTTAAAAATTAAAAAAAAATAAAATGGGGCCAACAAAATGGTTCAACAGGTAAAGATGTTTGCTGTCGATGTTAAGGATCTCAATTTGATCCCCTGATTTTGATCCCTGGATCCTGACCCCTGTGGTAGAGGGAGAACCAACTCTTTTAGGTTGTCCTCTGATCTCCGTATCATCACTGTGACTCCCATACCCACACAAAATAAACAAATGCGGGGAAAGGAAACTAAGAAAAATTTATACCATAGGAATACTAAGATAATGACCATATTTATTTTTATTGCTAATTAGAAATGAAAATAAAGTGTTTGAAGCTGCAAAAGCCGACAGCTTAAGAAAGATCACAAAGCAATAGAGTCACACATTATAGGTTAAAACTGGCTTTCATTATAAAGGGCAGGACTACATAAGCACTGTGGTTCTTAGTGGTGAGATTGCTGTCAGCATCTACCATCTGCATCGATGGGGAAGTTTAAAAACAAGGGAATGCCTGGTACTGATTACAGCTTAACTGGGTACTGATTAACACGTAACTGCAAGGTATGCATGAGAAACCATTATCTAGAAACATAGGTTTACAAAAAACAAGCCTAAAACCGAGACTGTTAGTCAATGTTGAAATTTATTTTTCAAAAAGAGATCATCTCATGATCTTTTAAGAAGATCCTTCTCTTGCTGGATTGCTAGGAAAGAAAAATAGAAAAAACTCATTAGAAGGGATTTTCTTTTATTTCTTTTGCTGGTTTTCTTACAATTAATTTCAGTTTGTTCACTAAGTCATTGAGTCTTATGCTTATACTTATGCCAAGTAACTTCAGTTTTATGCTTATACAACTAGGAAGTTAGATCTTTTCAGATGATTTTCTTAAATTTTTGAATTCCCGATTAAAGCTGACAAGACAAAAAGTGCCACTCAGTGTTGAAAAGTACACTTTCAGCTTCTGCAGCAACCTGCTATTCTGAATAGCAAACTGGTCCTTTGCATTTAGGAAGCTTGAACAGACACAAGCTCTGAACTTATCCTTCCACCTTACTTAACATCTATTTATAGAAGACCAAAACCACAGTTTGCATAGTTTTTTATGGATGAAATCATAGATTCAAACTGTTGCATCCTGAAAAAATATCTAATTAATATTTATATTAAAATTTAAAAACTGGCAAAATTGAGAATTATATAGTACCACATCAAATATTCCAAGATTAGCTTTAATGTAGCTTTAGTGATTTTTTAAGAAGAACTGAATCTATGATAACATTACTACTACTAGTTCTCCCCCTAACTAGGAACCCCCACTACTTACTTTCCTTCGATGGAAGGGTATTTTTTTCTTCAGTATTAGTTTTCTTCAGTTTTGATCTGTCAAATCTTTCCACTTCTGACAAGTCTGGTCTATCACTCATCTTGACTGAAAGAAAGAACAACAAAAAGTTACCTATTAGAACTCTGATCAGATTAAGAATAACAGCAAATATTGAGTGTTTTTTACTATCCATGAATATTTTGCATGGTGATTTTCAACAAGAAAACAGCAGATCTTAGAAAGTCATATTTTTCTTAGAGTACTCTGATTGCAAAGCATTAGCCCATTTCTGGTGGCAGTAAATGACAGCAGATGTAGACGCTCTAGAAACCAAGATACTGTAGAAACCCTGGGGGGGGGCTGACTTCAGGGACTACGAGCATCTTTACCTTCTAGTCAGTTACTTTTAGGGTATTTGGAAAAGGTGGTGAGCATCTCACACCAGAAGAGTGGCACACCCGGCTGTACTAATTTCTATTGAGCCAGGTGTTGGTGGTGCACACCTTTAATCCCAGCACTCGGGAGGCAGAGGCAGGCAGATCTCTGTGAGTTCGAGACCAGCCTGGTCTACAAGAGCGAGTTCCAGGACAGCCTCCAAAACCACAGAGAAATCCTGTCTCAAAAAAAAAAAAACACCAAGAAAAAAAACCGAATTTCTATTGAATGTCCAAATCAGTACTTTTTTTTTTTTTTTTTTTGGTTTTTACGAGACAGGGTTTCTCTGTATTGTTTTGGAGGTTGTCCGTCCAGCCTGGCCTCTGAACTCACAGAGATCCGCGTGCCTCTGGCTAAAAAAAAAAAAAAAAAAAAAAACTAATTTCTATTGAATGTCCAGATCAGTATTTTTTTTTTTTTTGGTTTTTAGGAGTCAGGGTTTCTCTGTATTGTTTTGGAGGTTGTCAGTCCAGCCTGGCCTCGAACTCACAGAGATCCACCTGCCTCTGCTTCCCGGGTGCTGGGATTAAAGGCATGAGCCACCACCGCCGGGCTAAAATCAGTATGTTAAAGCACTACAATAGTGAGGAGGGTTTAACCTAGTCAGTGGCAATTACAAGTCTCGTGATACCTTCTTGCAGCCTTAGTAAACGCATAAGGGGGGAGCTAATTAGGCGCAGACTCAGAACATTAGTAGAATGAGGAACGCCAAATACAGCTGAGTCCTATTTCCAAAAACGTAAGAAGGCAGAGCTCTTCAGTGAATGCCTATCCTTAGCTGGGCTAGGACACAATCTAGTGACCAGAGTAGAATAAAGAAGCCCTGTTCCTCACCCCATCCCACCCCTAGCTCCAAAGTTTCCACGTGTCTCAAACCACCCCATTCAATCAACGGTATCTTTTTTTTTTGCGGTTTGTTTATCTATTATATAGTATTCCTCCTGCATGTACGACTGTAGGCCAGAAGAGAGCACTAGATCCCATTACAGTTGGATGTGAACCACCTTGTGGTTGCTGCAAATTGAACTCAGGACCTCAGTGCTCTTAATCGCTGAGCTAACTCTCCAGCCCCAATCATCAGTATCATTCTTTTCATTTTTATTTTTTTATCTCATTTCATATTCCAACCACAGTTTTCCCTCCCACCCCCCTCGACTCCTCCAAACTTTGTCACCTCCCCCCCAGCCCACTCCTCCTCACGGGTAAGGGCTCCACTGAGGAGTCAACATAGTCTGAATCAATATCAATGTGCGAGATGGCCTAGGCAGGGAGGGATGCCGAGGAAGAGCAATGAAAGAGATATCTTCATAGAGAGCCATTGTGGGCTTAGGGAGAGAGCTGGTGCTAGGGTAACTCCCAAGAAGCCACAAGGAGGACCGCAACCAATCATCTGTACCTTAAGGCCCTCCTTAAAAGCACCAAGCTCAAAGCTGGGAAAACTGGGATTCACACATTTGTAATTGCAGGGCAGGGCGAGGGCATTTGTCTGGATTGTGCCATTTACAAATAGCTTGTCACTGCCCAGTACCTAGCATAAGGGGTAGAAGGACAAGAGTCAACCCTAGAAGGCCGCTGCCCCTCACCCCCATCCCACGCCTGCAACTCTCCTCCTGGATTTTGCCCTGCCCTCCGGGTTGCCTGTCCCCTTGGGCGTTCTAAAAAGGTGGGAACCCCCCCCCAGGATCACGATGTGTGTGCTGAGAAAACCTCAATGCCAGAAACAACGCTGCTGTGAAGTGGGCTTCCAGATGGGATCCCAAAAGCCCCAAAGCGCTACCAGTTGAGTGCCATTTTGCCTGCCACCCTCCTCAGCCCCCAACCCCCTATCCCCTGGGCAACAAGTTCTCACCTGTTCGCTTCAAGGCAAGCCCGCCCCATCTTGCCTGCCTCCCTCCTCACACCCAACCCCCATCCCCAAGCCCTCCCCACATCCCCAAGGCCCCCCTGCCCCCAACCCCCCCGCCCCCACCCCCCTCCCCCCATCCCCCCACCCCGGGCTAGACCACTCCCAACAAGTTCTCATCTGTTTTCCTGGCCTGGTGCCTTGCCTGCCTCCCTCCTCACACCCAAACCCCACCCCAAAACCCCCTCCCCAGGGCTACAAGTTCTCAACTGTCTGTTTTGCCTGCCAGATGCCTAGCCTGCCTCCCTCCTCACACCCAACCTGGCCTCCAACCACTGGGGCCACAAATTCTCACCTGTTTGTTTTGCCTACCGGGTACCTTTACCAATAGCTTGTGGGACAGACTGGTACTGACCAGCACAGGCCTACACTTCTGCCACAAGCCCCTCCCAAGCCCTGCCCAGGCACCACCCAGGCCCCGCCCATTCTTCTGTGATTGGATAGTCGACCATGAGGTCATGACCCTGAGTAATACACAGCCTCTCAGATTGGACAGCAGCCCTGGCTTGTTGCATCTCCTGCTTTGAGCTTGGTGGGTGTTGGAATTTGTTCTTTAGGACGTCTGTGCTTATAAATATAATATTTAATATTTAGACTGTGTCTGATAATAAGAACAAAATCTTTATGGTAGTCTCTGCCTTCTTGTATAACAGAAATCATAACGGTCTAAAGAGACAGATATTTAGTTAAGCATAGTGACACAATCCTTTAATCTCAGCACACAGGAGGCAGAAGCAGGCAGATGGCTGAGAGAACCCAGCCAGGCCTACAAAGTGAGTTCCAGGACAGTCAGAGATGACTTGCCTCAAAAAAAAAAAAACAGAAAAAAGGCAAATATTTACTACTGTATGGAAGTTGAGATGAGAGAGGAATCATTGGGGTATTCATATTTTCTCACAACATTTACTCAATCAAAATTTACTATTAACATTTTTTATATTCTTTTTACTAGCTTAATTAGGGAGGACTGCTCCAGGGGTGATCAAAACTTTGTAATAATAGCATTTTATTAAACATGCTTCATACTTGGCTATACTAATTCTTGTTTTACAAAAATCAGCTCAAAGGAATACCTCTTATTTCATATTTTTAATTAACTTTTTACACATGTCACTCTCAGTTCCCTCTCCCTCCCCTCCTCCCCCACCCCTAATCCTCCCAACCCCTCACCCCAACTCCATTACCCCCTCTACTCCCCAGGGAGGGCAAGGGCCTCCATGAGGGATTTTCAGAGTCTATCACATCATCCTGGGCAGGGCCTAGGTCCTCCCCCATGTGTCCAGGCTGAGAGAGCATCCCTCCACATGGTATGGGTTCCCAGAGTCCTTCTGTATGCCAAGAATAAATACTGCTCCACTCTCCCCGGTCCCACAGATTGCCAAGGCCTCCTCTCTGTCACCCAGGTTCGGTGGGAGGGTGTCTGGATCAGTCCCATGCTGGCCTCTCAGTCATCAGTCTGTGGTCCATGTCTTCCCCCTTGTTTAGGTCAGCTGCCTCTGTGGGTTTGCCAGCCTGATCTTGATTCCTTTGGTCATCACTCTTCTTTGGAATTGGGTTCCAGGAGTTCAATTCTTTTCACAGCTGTGGGTGTCTGCCTCTGCCTCCATCAGCCATTGGATGAGAGTTCTAGGATGGCATATCAGGTAGTCATCATTCTCATTATCATGGGAGGGCATTTAAGGTAGACTTAGTGCCAGTTGGTGTCATTCTTGTAGATCTGTGAAGATCTCACTAGTGCCAGATCTCTCCTCCATCTTATACTGGCTCCCTCTTTTATGGTATCTCCCATCCTTTTCTCCTCTATTCTTACCCTGGCTCAAACTTCATGCTCTCCCATGTCCTCCTCTCGCCTCTTCTTTTCTCCCTCTCTTTCTCCCATCTCCTTCTACCTTCCCATCCGCCCCCCAATCCAATTAGGAGATCGCATCCCCTAACCCTCCTCTGGGTTACCATGCACATCTCTCTTTGGGTCCTCCCTGTACCCCAGACTCTCTGGTGGTGGGACTGTGGGCTGGCAGTGCCCTGCTCTGTGACCATACTTGTCTTTTTGTGACTGGGTTACCTCACTCAGGATGGTTTCTTCTAGTTCCATCCATTTGCCTGCAAATTTCAAGATTCGATTTTTTTTTCTGCTCAGTAGTACTCCATTGTGTAAATGTACCACATTTTCTCTATCCACTCTTCAGTTGAGGGCCATCTAGGTTGCTTCCAGTTTCTGGCTATTACAAATAATGCTGCTATGAACATAGTTGAGCAGATGTCCTTGTTGTATGAGGGTACATCTTTTGGGTATATGCCTAAGAGTGGATCTTGTGGTAGACTGATTTCCATTTTCCTGAGGAATCTCCATACTGATCTGCAAAGTGGCTGTATGAGTTGGCACATCAGCAGTGGAGGAGTGTTCCCCTCTGTTCACATCCTCTGCAGCATAAACTGTCATTGGTGGGTTTTTTTTTGTTTGTTTGTTTTGGTTTTTTTTGTTTTGTTTTTATGAGACAGGGTTTCTCTGTATTGTTTTGGAGGCTATAGGTCCAGCCCGGCCTCAAACTCACAGAGATCCGCCTGCCTCTGCCTCCCGAGTGCTGGGATTAAAGGCATGCGCCACCACTGCCTGGCCGGTGTTTTTTATTTTAGCCATTATAACAGGAGTGAGATGGTATCTCAGAGTTTTTTTATTTGCATTTCCCTGATGGCTAAGGATGTTGAGCACTTTCTTATGTGTCTCTCAGCCATTTTAGACTCCTCTATTGAGAATTCTGTATTTAGTTCTATTCCCCACTTTTTAATTGGATTCTTTGGTGTTTTGGAGACTTGCTTCTTGAGTTCTTTGTAAATTTTGGATATCAGCCCTCTGTCAGATGTGTGGTTAGTGAATATCTTTTCCCATTCTGTGGTCTGCCTTTTTGTCTTGTTGACTGTGTCCTTTGCCCTGCAGAAGCTTCTCAGTTTCAGGAGATCCCATTTATTAATTGTTGATCTGAGTGTCTGTGCTACTGGTGTTATGTTCAGGAAGTGGTCTCCTGTAAAGGGAAACCTTTTCCTTGAGAGAAGCCTTCATGCCAGTCTGGTTCTAGAGCCCCATCAGTCCCAAATAAACACGCAAGAGGCTATATTAATTATGAAGCTGTTGGCCTTGCTTGTTTCTTACTGGCTAGCTCTGACTTAAGTAATTACCCCATAATTGTTAATCTAAGTATTTCTCTTACCGGAGAAGTTTCCGGGCTTCCTACCCCATGGCGTTACATCTTGACTCTCTGTGTTTCTCCTTCCCAGAGTCCTTCTGGACTTCTAGTCCCACCTATCTTGGTTCGCTATTGGCCAACAGTGCTTTATTGACAAATACACAGGACTTCCCCAACAGTCTCCTGTACCAATTTGTTCAAGGATTCCTCCCACTTTGTCCTTTAAGAGATTCAGTGTGACTGGATTTATGGTGAGGCCTTTGATCCATTTGGACTTATGATTTGTGCATGGTAATAGATATGCATCTATCTGTTGTCTTTTACTTGCCAGCATCCAGTTACTCCAGCACCATTTGTTGAAGATGCTTTCTTTTTTCCATTGTATAGTTTTAGCTTCTGTATCAAAGACCAGGTGTTCAAAGGTGTGTGGGTTGATATCAGGGTTTTCGATTCAATTCCACTGGTCTACCTGTCTGTTTTTGTGTCAATACCAAGCTGTTTTCAGGACTATAGCTCTATAATAGAGCTTGAAGTCAGGGATGGTGATGCCTCTGGGAGTTCCTTTATTGTACAGGGTTACCTTGGCTATCCTGGGTCTTTTGTTTTTCCGTATAAAGTTGAGGATTGTCCTTTCAAGGTTGGTGAAAAATTGTGCTGATATTTTGATAGGGATTGCATTGAATCTGCAGATTGCTTTTGGTAAGATTGCCATTTTTACTACGTTGATCCTACCAATCTAAGAGCATGGGAGATTTTTCCATTTTCTGGAAAAGCAGCAAAGGAAAAAGGCCAAGTAACATATAAAGGCAAACCTGTCAGAATTACACCTGAATTTTCCATGGAAACTATGAAACCCAGAAGGTCCTGGATAGATGTTCTACAAACACTAAGAGACTACAGATTCCGGCCCAGACTACTATTCCCAGTAAAACTCTCAATAACTATAGATGGAGAAAACAAGATATTCCATGACAAAACCAGATTTATGCAATATGTATCCACAGATCCAACCCTAGAGAAAGTTCTAGAAGGGAAACTCGGACCTAAGGAAGTTAACTACACTCAAAATAACATGGGCAATAGATAATCTAACTTTACCAGAAACCAGAAATAGGAGAAAAACTCACACACAAAACCACCACCACAAACGGATCCAAAGCAAACAAGAATCAACAATCAATGGTCATTAATATCCCTGAATATCAATGGTCTTAACTCACCTATAAAAAGACACAGGCTAACAGAATGGATACGAAAACAGAATCCATCCTTCTGCTGCATACAAGAAACACACCTCAATTTCAAAGACAGATGCTACCTCAAGGTTAAGAGTTGGGAAAAGTCTTTCCAGTCAAATGGAGGTAAGAAGCAAGCGGGCGTAGCTATCCTAATATCTAACAAAATAGATTTCAAACTAA